GTTCAAAATTAATTTTGGCATGTATAATAAATGTTTGAATATTTTTAGAAAAATATAATTTTAGGTACATAATTAATTTTAACATATAATAGGGGTGTTTCGATATATTTTTACGAAGGCATAGTTTGACCTCTAAAATTGATTAATGCAATTATCGAAACAAGCACACTATCACTTATTTTTAATTCAATTTTTCAATCATATGTTTCCAAAAATTTATCCAAAAATCATATAAATTATTTTGCAAAGTCATATTTTTAGTTCATAATTAATTTTCACATGTATAGAGGTGTTTGGATATTTTTAAGAAAATCATAATTTTGTATTTGTAATTAATTTTAGCATGTATAATGAGTGTTTAGATATTTTAGAAATATGTGATTTTAAATTCATAATTAATTTTAACATGTAATAAGGTGTTTGGATATATTTTCAAAAAATCATAATTTTGATCTTAAAATTGATTCCAAATGTTATCCAAACAAGCACCTTATATGTGTCAAAATCAATTAAGAACGCATGAACCATGGTTGTTTCATAAGTTATTATTAATTATTTTACAAATTATATTTCTGGGTTCATAATTTATTTTGACATGTATAGAGGTATTTGAATATTTTTAAAAAAGGTTAAGATATAATTTTACTCTTAAATTTTTTTTCAAGAAGTAATTTTACCCTTGTATTGATTAGTGGGATAATTTTATCTTTGAATTATTTTGTTTAAAGAGCAAAAAATTCCTTTTTATGGTGTCTAGCGCTCCTCAAAAAAATAGTTCAAAAGTAAAATTATCCTACTTATCACTATAGAGGTAAAATTGCTCCTCGAGAAAAAGTTTGAGGATAAAATTACATCTTAACCCTTTTAAGAAAACTATAGTTTTGGGTTCACTATTGATTTTGACATGTATAGATGGTATTTGGATATTTTTAGGAAAGAATAATTTTGGTTTTTGGATTCATAATTGATTTTAATGAGTAACAAGGGTATTTGGAGATATTTTCACAAAAATATATTTAACATCTAAAATTGATTTTCAAATTTATCCAAACAAGCAAGCACCACTTAAAATAAGGGTGGAGATAAGGGAACTAGGGCCGTCTAAATTTTTTACTTTGTAAAATGTAAGAGTTATATATTTTTAACCCCCTAAGCTAATACATTACATAAACCTTAAGACATTAAATGGAATTTTCATTCCAATTCTATGTGCAGTCTTTTATGTATGTAAAGTGCAATTGTTTCATTAGCTTGAAAATAGATTGTTATGGGATCTACTTATTTTCAAGAGGATAATGTTACAACTGTTCTTAAAGCATTGAAGTTATTTGAAATTGCTTTCATTTTGTATTTGATAAAAGAAATTATAAAAATTATTACTAGTAAACTTTGTCAAGCATTGCAACAAAAATCTCTAGATATATTGAATGTTTTGTGCTTGATATCTACTATAAAATCACTTATCCAAAAATTAAGGGGTTATGATTAAAATGCACTTTTAGAAAAAAAATTACTTTTTTAGAATAACCAAGCTATTAAAATTTATGATATGAATATTTTATTCTAATGAAATTTGATCTCATCAACATAAAAATTTTGTGATAATTTAACATCATTATCATGTTGATAAATTTATTTGCTATAATTATCTATCGAAAAAATTAAATAGTAAATAGAGTAAGCAAATAATAAAGCTTTTTAAATTGAACAAAATTTTAGATCTCAAAAATATATTTAAATCATTCAATGATCATAGGAAAGATGTAATTTTAACTAACTTAATGATGGTTTATATTGAGAAATAAATTATCATGCTCATAGATATGATAATTAATGATTTTTATGGTATGAAAAATCAATAAGTAGAACTTAAAAAATGAAAGCACATATATATTTTTATTATATATTTGTAAAAATGAATATAAATATGTATGTTGGAATACTTACGTTATGCTAGTTATATGGTATATGGATTTACTTTTTTTCAATTATCATACATGCCTTATAATCTCGGCCCTCCTAATAAAATTTCTAGCTCCATCCCTGCACCTAAATAAAAATACATATAAAAGATGATTCTGCTCAATTCATCAAATTAAATTATTATAGAAGAAGTGCATTGAAACTAGATTAAAAATAAAGATTTTAATAATCAATATTAATACATTTTTTATTATTCATAAATATTCTCTTATTGGAGGTAATCCTATTTGATGAATGATCTAACACTACATGTGAGCAATTTTTTTAGTGGAGATTTGAATCTTGGTTTGTTATGTTGTAAGAAATTAACTTCTTCCACTTGATCCACTCCATTGGTGATACATTTTTATTCCAATAGATGTATAATAAAAAATAATAATGATAGTCTGTTAACTGTCACATTATTAAGAAAATAAATTTACTATTTAAAAATTATAAATTAAAAACTTAAATCTATTGCTTAAATTAAATTTGAATTGTCTAAATTTCACTACTATGATAACAATGAGCACCAAACCAAACTAATAACAAGGAATAACATAATGTATTTAAAAACTCTTTCCTTTGAAAATCGTAAGTCACTTTTAACTAATTTACATCCCTGGTAAGTTAGTTAATAATATTTTAAATTACTCTGTTTGGTCATGTTTACCTTTATTTTATGACCTGTCTTATCTAAAAAAAGCTTATTAATTTCATCTTCCAATTGATGTCATTTTTTAAAAAGATATCATTAATTACACTTGAAAAAAAATAATTTTTTTGAGAAAATTAATTTTTAGTCCATAAATTTTTGACTTGATTATAATCAAATCCCTCAACTTTGAGTCATTATAATTTAGTCTTTATAGTTTTGATTTAGTTGTAACTCAATCCTTAAATTTTGACTCACTGCTCAGTCCCTATATTTTATAAAAAATTATTAAAAGTTTTAGCCTTTAAAATACGGTCCTAAATTTTAAAATACTTTTAATATTTATAATTTTTTTCTAAAATATAAGGACTAATATTTTAGATGTCTAAAATTATAAGGATTGAGTTACACATAATCAAAATTAGAAATTAAGTTACAATAATGTTTAAAATTATAAGAATTAAATGATTAATTTTCCTAAATTTTTTAAGGATAAGGATCGTTTTTGCCGTTGAACTCGATGTGAACCATCATAATTGACCCAAAACTCAATAAAGGATCATTTTATATGCCTCAACCTTATAGATTCTTTATTTCATCACCTTATCATGTCCTCCATTCATTTTCTATGTTAGTAGGGCCTACGTGTAAATTTTTTAGTATTTTTATTATTAAAATATTAAAAGCAGGTCCTACCATTCATTTTAAATATTTTCCCCTCCTTCTCCTTGCAACTTGTCTCCTCTTCTTCATTCTTCTCATCTTTGCAACTCAGCTTCAACATTAAAACCCAATGTGACTTCTAAACCACATTCATCATGAATGATCGTCACTGTGTTTGGAGTTAAGAGTGGTGTCACTTGGTAAATGGTGATGATATTTCCACTGACACCCACCTCCAATCTCCCCCTCCTCTGCCGCATCACCAAGCACCCACCTCCACTTTCCCTCCCTCCTCAATCATGAAGAAGGCAGAGTAGTGGGGTGGTGATGAACTGGGCATTGGCCTTAATGAACCATGACACACAATCATATATGGACCTAAACATCATTATGAGCTTCTTGAAGCACACACTTTGACTCATGGCAAACTACTCACAAATGCTTGCCACTAATGGAGATGGAAAGGGAGGAGAGAAGGAGATAGAGAGGTGAGAGCGAAAGAGAAAGAGTAAGGGAGGAGAGAGGGAGGAGAGAGGAGATGGAGAGAAGCAGAGATAGGCCAAAGTCAAAGATGCAAGCAACACCATTCAAAAGAGAGAAGTTGAACATGAGGACATTTGCCATGTTCACATTCAGAGATGCAAGCAACTTCCATCATGTTCACGTTCAAAGACATCCGCCAAAGTTAGAGATGCAAGCAACTTCTGCCATATTCTTGTTGCAGACATCACAAAAATAGGGTTAAACATGAAAAAGGATACCAGAGCAATGCCAACTTTAGTGTTTTTGTTCTCAGGTCCAAGAGTGAGGAACATAAGGTTCAAGGAGAGGTTGGGAGCGGCTAGGAGCAAAGGTTCTGAGAGTGTTTAATGTGCATGATATTATGTCTAGTTGGACCATAATAGCTTGTCATTTTTTATGCCTGCCACGCTGATTTTTTAGTGTTGGAGCTGGCCAAAAGGGTGGAGAGAAGAAAAGGTAAAAATAAAAGTAATATAAGGCCCACAAGTAATATCTTTTAATAAAAAATATTTAAAAAGAATTCAAAAATAGAACCACTAACAAAAAAATGGACAAATTAAAATAAATAATAATAGACAAAAATAAAATCTAAAGTTAAGGAATATAAATGATCATTTGTTGAATTTAAGATTTTGTGTCCAATCCAGAAGCAAAAATAACCTTTAACTTTATAAGTTTTTTTTATATAAACAAAAACACATTCTTCAATAAACATTTACTACAAATTTTTTAGTTTATCCTCTCAAACTTAAAATTTACTATCATGAGAAACATTATTCTAACATTATGCTAATTAAATACAAGAATGTTTTAATCCAACTTTTTTTTATTTTTAAATACAATTATTATAGTTAACCTTAATCATTAACCACTTTTCTTAAAGCGTGTACAATTATCTTCTCCTACATTTAAAATCGGAGGGAGCACTTTATAAAAGATGACACCTTGCCTAGAGAAAGAGAGACCCTATTTAACACTACATTTCTTTTACCATGGATTGGCTCTTTTTTGTCATGAGAAGAGAGAGGGGAGAGAGAGACCCTATTTAACACAATACATTTTTTTTTACCATGGATTGGCTCTTTTTTGTCATGAGAATTATCCAAGAACAAGCTGGGATAATATAACCCACTGGAGAGGATCAGATTCGCTTTATGGAAAGTCCTTTGAGATTTCAAGGAGGATCGCTAGAATGATAGAAATTAGTGAGCGATAAATACTATAAAATACACTTGACATGATGGTTCATGCCTTCATGGTCAGGTGGACAGTTTCCTCCACGTCCCTCTCCTTTCTTCCACAATCAGCCGGTAGTACATGCAAATGAGAACAAGAATCTGACAAAAATTTGAGTTCTCAAATTACCTTCACTGCGTTTCTGTTAAAAAAAAAAAAAAAATTTGCTGCTATTCCGAAATCCTCTTCATGAAGGTATCGAAGAGCAATAAACACATCTAAATCAACGACGAAACCCTTCATTTCTGCTGTGAGATGTCTCAGTTAATCGTGTGTTTGCTCCAGATCTTTAACAAATGTCCGGAGAAACCCATTAATGATACGAGGGGCTGCTCCATCACAAAACCGTTTAGCGAGATCCACCGCCTTCAAAACAACCATGCATTAGAAATAGCAAGTTAGTAGAGAAACCATAAGCGAATTAAAGAAACAATTGAAGCTCGTCAGAAAAGAGTAAACAGAAAAAATATATCCACCGCCTTCAAAACAACCATGCATTAGAAATAGCAAGTTAGTAGACAAACCACAAGCGAATTAAAGAAACTCAATTGAAGCTCGTCAGAAAAGAGTAAACAGAAAAAGATGCCACAACAAATATATAATATTGATAATGGCAATAATATCAGTGATAATAACAATAAGTAGACTAAGAGATACCTCATTAATGACGATTTGGTGCCTTGTTCCAAGCACCGCAATCTCAGAAATTGCCAAGTGAAGGAGGATAGAAAGTTCCAATATCCTACCTGATGGCTCATTCTGAAATGTATCAATAAATAAGATGAAAACTACTGGTGTTAGCAAAGAAAATAATAGTCACAAAGTAGCCAATTCATCAAGGCACATGAGCACAGGGTAGAACGGGTCACTTGTCAATAGCTGGCCTTACATTTGCCACAGAAAATTTATCGAGATCTAATGCTTTGACTTAACGAAGGTAATGATGAGACAATAATGAAGTTCTGTCCCCACCCTCCAGCAATTAAGGAATTGATGGGTCTTATAAATGGTCTCTAAATAGCTTGGGAAAGGGGGAAAAAAACTGAGTGTTTGGGGAAAAACACGAGATTTTGATCCTTTATAAGGGGCATTTTAGGAAAATGCCTTACTTACACCTAGAACTTTATAATCAGACTTATAACTAGGGACACAACAAATCTAAAAGCCGGGACTTGTAACTAGGGATGGACGGAAGTAGAAGATAAAGAAGGTCAGAGTATCACACTCTGCAACAAAGCCAATAGATGCATGATACTATTTAACCATTGTAACAATATGCATTTCTTAAATATTCGAAACAAGTGTTAAGCATGGTTTCTGTATTCAGTGTATGCAGTGCAGATTTTGCTCTTTTTTTTTTTTTTTTAATAAACAGATTTTCTGTTTCCTCAGCTCGGGAATGTTTTTCAAGTAAAGACACACAAAGCAGCTGAAAAGGGATTCAATGAAGTGATCAAATGAAAAGATTCATCGTTCTAGGTCAAAACAATAGTAATCTGCTAAGGATACCAGCCTCCTTGCCTTTTCATAGGCAAAATCTTCTGAATTTAAAAAAAGCAAGGCAAAGGGTAGGCTCAATGAAAGGGGGAAAGCTGACATCTCTCACAAAGCCCAACCACAGTGATCCTTTTAATATAGGTCATAGAAACTTGATAATATCAGTAAATGGTTTAGAACAGACAATTTACGTATGCAATCCTAAAGAACAAGAAAATCAGCTACTGCAAGTTACACAAGATATAACAGAAACTTTAATAATTTATATTTTCCTGACTCGTTAGTTTGCTTACTAAAAACACATACCTCCTTTGAACTTGGACTGCACAACAAGAAAAGAACACTCAATTCAATCAAAGAAAGAAATACAGCACTCAAGGCAAGGCCATGGATAGAAGAGTCAAACCAATGATTTGAAATCTGACTTAATTAAA